TATTGGTGGGCCGCAGGCTTCAGGCTTCAGGGTTGACCCGTGACCACCAGCGGCATTCGTTTGCATGATGCAACAGCAGGAGCGATGCACATGTCAGCGTGCAGCGTGCAGCCAATAACAGCCCGCTGAATGCGACCCTGCGTCTGCCCGCCAAGTCCAGATGTCGCTTGTCCCATGTCCCTGCGCATGTTGTCGTCTTCCCGGGAAGGCAGCATATTTTGCCGACATCGCCGCGTTGCTGGTAATGATGTTGTTTGTCACATTTGCCGTCCTTGTCGCGTCTGCTTCACGCTGTATCTTGCCGTCGCGGCTTTGCCGCCGATTGAATGGCCTCTGGGTCGTATTGCGTATTGTTGAAGATTTCGCGATTTTCCGGTTTGCCTTTTGCGGCCGTCACAATCCGCTTTGTCTCGTTGGGCCAGACGAACAACGATTCGATTGAAATGCCTCCAGAGACCACGGCATGATCAGAGATGCCATACACCAACGAAGCCAGGGCCGAAGGCTCCTGCCGCCCACTTTTCACTCTCAAGATGGTCGACATCTCTCACTAAGCCGAGTCGACGAAGCAACAAAAAAAAGAAAAACAAGAGAAAGAGGTCAATTCGAATATGGTTATCAATCAACTTACCAGGGGGGACGTGAATAATTCCTCGGTGGATAGATCAATGAGGGGTTTCAACGTAACTTGCTACAAGTTGAATGCGGAAAGATGGCAAGACTTCACAAGGAGAGAAGGCTCGGTAGGGGGGGTGTCTGGGGAAGGGGGGGAGGAGGCATGCTTTTATTGTGTCATGGTGTCGTTCTCCGGCCTCGCAGGCTCATGCTCATCATCTTTCAAACACAACCCACAATGGTGGAAAAGTCAGTCGAGTCAACCACGCCAAGCCCAGGGCCAATATCCCAGCACCATACTCCGTACTCCTACTCGGTGCTGCAGAAATGATAAGCCTCGGTGGTGGGCAATAGTACTGTCTTTGCTCAGGCGAAGAAAATGGACGCTCCCCCACCAGCGGCTATTTGGGTTGACCGGGGGCTTGATTAGCTGCGACCTGGTGGAGTCTCACCAGGATCCTCTCAACGCCATGGACGGCCCTACAGAAAAAAAATTGCCGCCTGGCTTTGGCCTGCCTGGTCTGCGGGTGCGGGCTTGCCCTGTCAGCAACTGGACGACAACCCGACTAAGCGGCGTGCGGACTGACGAGGCCAACCAACCAGGCCAGGCCAGGCCAGCAAGCAACAAGCAACCCTCCGCTCTCCACCCGAGAAGCACATGTCAGAAAACACCGATACTCTGTTTCACTAATGCTTCCACGTAGATTGGTTGAGCCGGAGCGCGTCGGCCGTGGCCCGTGACTGGACGAGGGCCTCCGTGCTGCCCTGCCCTCTTCTTCTCCGTCTCCTGCGACCTTGACGGATATCGCTGCCAGCACCCAGCACCCAGCACCCAGCACCCAGCACCCAGCACCCATACTTGGTTGATGTGTACCCACTCTCTTCGGACTTTGGGGCTAAGACTGGGTTCGACAAGCCCTCACTTTCTACTGTGGTGGGAATAATAAGCGCTGGATGGTACAGAAAATTTGAGTAGGCCTCGCTCTTTTTTTTTTCTTTTCTTTTTTTTTGGGTGGTCGTGGTGGTCCGTTGTTTTCTTTTTCCTCCTTCTCCCGCTCGTACCCTCCGGCCACAACTGCAGCAGAGCTGGGACCAGTGGGAAAACATCCAGCCAGGATCCCGATCTATCCCGTCCCAGGATCTACCACACGCTGCAGGTCCGTACGTAATAAGCTCAGATGATGCCGGCCATGGTTTCCGGGGCGTTGCCTATTGCGGCTGCCGAGCGAGATGTGTTACCCCAAAAAACGATTCCATTACCCGGAAAACTATTCCATTCCCCCCCAAAAAGCCCTACATTACCTTTGCAAAACCGACCGCACCCCGGCTTGTCACCACCCGTTAGTGTGCTCGGTAAGCCATGATGTCTGTCAGCACACGGAGATGGCAGTGATGCGAAGCGAAGGTGATGAGGGCTAATGTGGACCCCCCTTTCCCGGCAATTTTTTACTAGGCCAAGGGCCACGGGGCAAGGTTTCCACGCAAAAAGTCATGGATAGTGATGTTGCTTTGCAACTGGCTCTCCAAAATCCGTTGCCTCTACTCCATGCTGACGTTCTATCTCTGACCTCATGTCCGCGGCAGAGTCGTTTTGTAAGAGAAATCTGGCGCCAGAATCTCCGAATGCGGGACTGGGCCGCCACATGTGCTTCTAGGGATGCTCCATGAATCCAGGATGCGCCTGGGCCTTCCAGGATGCCTCAGGATGCTTCAGGATGCTCCCAGCCCTCGTCCTGATGGTTTGCCTCGAGGGGGCTGCTGGCTGCTGGGACGAGCAAATGTCCAGGGTGCTGCGTCTCTCCACCAGAGCCGTCTTCTCTCGCGCCAATCGTTGCCTGGAATTTCAAAGCGTCCGACGCCGATATCGGGCGATCGCCGCTGTCCAATGGCCCCGGACGGGGATCCCTGCACGAGTGTCGTCACCGCGACGCGGGGGACGAGGCCTGGTGCGGCCTGCCAACCATTCGAGCAGCAATATCTCCGCCTCGTTGGATCGTTGCAGTGGTCAATCGAGGAGACAGGACGCTTCTTGTTCAATAGCCCTACTGGTCACTTTTTTGTCCCCAGTCTCAACGTGGTGCGCCAGGTGTGCTTCCTTCTCGCGACATCTTTGCCTCACAGGCCGGACAGTGGACACATTGCATGGTCTAGCCCACGCCGACCATCTAGGACTGGTCTGCAGATTTTGTGTACATGTGCACGGCATGAATTTTATTTTCTTTGTCCTTCATCTTTCATTGATCCCCGGTCGGAGGATGCTCTGCTTCGAACACGTAGCCGATGACGATTTTTTGTGTCCGCTCAAAAACCCACGGCAGGAAAGAAATCAACCGGCACCAACACGAGCATCAGCCGTCGGAGTTTCTGCGCACCCGGCGGCAAGGGTACGTATTGAAAAGGCATTGCAACCATGTCCGCGCAACAGTGCTTTCGCCAACGATGGGCACCCGGTTCGGGAATGTCGGTTGCATTTCAGCCATATGCCTCGCCGTTGTACATGCCGCCACGACCTCGGTCTACGGTGCCTGCCTACTCCGTACTCCGCACGAATTGTCAAAACAATCGACAACAGAAAACAGGCCGGGCGAACCAATCATGGTGTCGGGACTCTGCTTCGGCCCTTATCTGGACGTGGAGCAGGCTACGGAGTACCGGGCCATGAATTCATACCGATTTTGCTAGCACCGAGCACGGAGTAGTGCCGCACTATGCACCCTCGAAACGAAGTCGATGGCTCGGCTGCCTGCCTCGAACGTCATGGTGCGATGAGCGGATGAGTGGTTCGTGCGGCGTGCCAGTCGAAAGTGTCTCAGCCCTCCGTCGCCTCCTGTGTGGTCCAGCGGTGTTCATCCGAGGAGAGTTCAACGGCGCACCCATCTAGATATTTACATGGTTTTGGCGGCAAATTGTAATGGCCAATGTTCTTCCTGTTCCAGCCTCTCTGGATCAACGGAGCAAACGCGCAGCCGCTGTTGCAGTCCACTTCGCCGTGGACCGTGGTGCAACCGTAGCACCAGCCAGGACCGCCGCCACAGGATACGTTGCTTTGGGGTTGACAGAAGCCAAGCCAGTCCTTCAAGGTGCTCTTGCGTTTTGGAGGATAGACTTCATCAATCAATCGTGGTACTACGGATTGTTCAGCGGCTCCACGGTCAGTTGTCGCTACTTATTCATGACGAGGTACGCTCAAACCCCTGTAAGTTTGGCCATGAGTGACCTGACACGGAAGTTTGCAGGGCTCGATGCCAGGGCCCAGGGACCTTGGTGTCGAAGGTCATTCAGCTAAGTAAGCACGTCCTAGGTGAGTAAGTACCTAGGTATTTAGGCAACAGGAAAGTGACCTTGGATTGATTTGGTAACAGATTTTATTAGAAAATTCGGTACTCTCCTGCCCTGTACCTGCTCTCTGTAAAATCAAGCCCCCCCTGCCATGTCACTCCCAGCTAAACTTTCAGGGTCTGAATTGCACGCATGCAGACTCGTTTGTCCATTTACTTATTAGCTAACCGACCCGAGTTTGGATTGACAATGGCCCCCAAAAATACGGCCGTTGCTGACCGCCAGCGCAGGTGAACACAAACGCAACCCGGATGGTGCGAGGGCGGTACCAGGGATTGGATGGAGGAAGACAAAGAAGCCCTGCTTACGTAAGTATGTGGTGAGTGTGTCTTGAATTTCTGCTACGGAGTAACCCAGTACGACGAGTAAGTTGGCAGGCCCGCCGCGGCCCACGACAGGCACAGGCACAGGCCATTGAATGAAAGGTGTCCTTTTGATGCTTTTGATGAGGCGGACGATGCCGGAAAATCCCGCGACCAGCACAAGCACAGTTGGGAGCCAGTCTTCCGTGAACTGTCAACATGACTGACTGCCTGAATTCTGGAGACCACGGGGGAGCTCTGGCAATTTCTAAAGTGCCAATCCATGTCCCTATAGGGTCGGTAGCCCTGGTAGCGCTGGCCCGCGTAGGGGCTCCTGTGGAAGGTGCAACCCGGCGGCATACATACAGGTGGATGCTGCTGCGGAAACTACGGGATTGAAGTTGCGCTGCCTTGGGGATGATGAGGCAAATGACTGGATGTTTCCGTTACCCTTATCTGAATGCCCATGGACGAACGATGGATCTTGCTTGCCGTAGTAACTTACATGTGTACGGAGTACGATGATGCACCTGAAGTATTGATAGGACGAGACGTGAGACGTTCAGTCTTGGCCCTTGAGCGCGCCCCGCGCGGCGGCTGCGGGTCCCTTTTGGCCCAGGAACCATTTTGATCAATGTTTACGAGCTTCATCCTACCTCTGTGCTTCTACCTTGACCACCCTCCAGAGCGCCACCGGGCACGGCACAAAACAAGACGGTACTGGATTGATGGTCATTCTGTGAAATGCTGACAACGCTTCCCGACTTCACCCCGCGAGATGTAAGATTGGTATCTGCGCCATCAATTACTGTAATTCACGAGGCTGGCTGACGATTACATGTAGTCCCATTCGCTGTGGTACACGTCCTCCAGAGGCACCTCACAACCGCCGGGACTGCACGACACTCACCATGGAGACTCGCTACAGCATAATCACAGCTCTGGCCAATCAAGACCACGAGGTCACGTCGTGGAACGAACAGCACTTGCCCGCCTCGCCGCCTCGGAGCAGCTCATGCATCGACGCCGAATACAGGTACAGAACTTTGGAAGCGGCTGGCTACGGCCACCAGGCGTGCCCAAGACCCTCCACCAGATGCGGGAGGAAAAGCGCGAACAGGAAGAGCACCACGAAGCCATGCGTCGGGAACAACTAGCCCAGGAACTCGCCGAGGCAGAAGGAGGCGGCCTGCCGGGAGAAGGCATGATGGATGACGTGCAACTAGACGGCGCACATGATCTCGACGACGAAATCCCCGATGCCGACAATCACTTTGGCATGGGAGATGAGGACGAAGACGACGACGACCAAGACGAAGAGGAGGGCATCGAAGCAGGACGCTCGGAAGAGCTGGATGACGAAGCTCTCCGCGAGGAACGACAAAACGACCTAATGGCAGCACGCATGCGCATGGCCGACGACGCGTTCCGCGAGGCCCTTGTACGCGGGGACCCTGACGGCGATGACATGTACGGCGGAGGAGAGGAGCTCGAGCAAGAGCACCAGGGCCACATGCTGGACGAAGAGGACTTTGCCCACGACGGCACGGAGACGAATCTGGACGACGATATCCCCGAGGCGGAGAGCGGCCTGTACGAGCACACCGACTCCGAAGCCGAACTGAGCAGCAGCGACGACGGCGGGCGCGAGGATGAGCAAGACGAGCACGATGCTGGATTCGTGCCGAGAACGGCGCAGATGGCACCGCCCCTTTCGAGCCCGACGTCGCGGGGAAGAAGGGGCTCGGGGAGGAACAGCATGGACCTGAGCAACATTCTTAGCCAGGACGAAAGCAGCTTCATGGATAGCAGCCCCGTTCAGAGGAGACGGCACGCATAAATGCGCGACTACGAACGAACATGATACCCACGATGATGAGGCCGGTCGAATGGCTGGCGCGTGCCAGATGGACGGCAGTCCCGAGTCCCATGGGCCATGGCAATGTCCGGCGTAGGTGTAGGACAGGATTAGACAGTATTTTTGAGCACATTTCCTCCAAGTGCACGCTCGTACCGTGCGGGAACTGTCCGCGAGACTGAACGAATAAGCCACCAGCCCAACCACGATTACCGAAGTGCCACGACTGCGACGTAGATGGGAACGGCACGACGAAGCACCTACTCACCTGTGTGCGTGGGCACAAAGGGGGCCTCACCGCCGCGGCACACAGCTCACATCTTTTCCCGCACCAAAGGAAGGCCCGAGGTCAAAAACACCAGGACCTCCCAAAGGCACAGCGTATCCAATTGATCATCTTTTTCTTTCTTTTTCAAGAAAAAAGAAAAGAACGCCCCCTTCCGCATCGCACGCTCGATCCATTCAAGCCCAAACACGGCCGCCGCACAACCCTGCAGGCCATGTCGTCTTCGCGTCCGGCCCAGCACCAGATAGCATCCAAAACGCACCATTCCATCCGGCAGACGTCGCACCCATGCAAGAGGATTCTTTTCCGTGTGAACAAGTGAAGCAAGTGAAAGAAAACAAGGCAACATGCCAGATGAACCAACGCCCGCCCATGCTTTTCCCATCTCCAAGGCCAGCCACAGCCAGCCTGCCGTAACCAGAACCATCAGGCAACCCGCCGCGCCCGTCAAAACAGCCACACGTACAGAAAGAGCGTAGCGACGGCCGCAAAGAACAGCAGCCAGGCCCTCCAGCCGACGCCGGTGCGCGCGGCCATGATCTTCATCCTGTTCATGGTCCCCCTGACGCGCATCCTCGCGTCGTCAAAGGCGTCGTTCATCTTGTCCGCGAGGGCGGACGACTCGCGGATCTCGTCGCCAATGGCTACCGTCATCTGAAGCGCCGGGTCGTGATCGCGAGACCGTCAGCCCCCCGTGCTTGCTTGCTTGCTGGCACGCGCGCGTTGGAAAGGGGGGGGGGTACGTACATCCTTGAGCGTGCGGACCTTGCCTAGTATCCCGGCGACCTGGTCCTCGTTCTGGCTCTCCAGCTCGTTGAGGACGGCGTCGCTGTACTGGCCTCTTCTGTTGGGCGTGGCGGCCCGGTAGGCGTGCCGCTCTCCGGGGCCGCCGTTGGCGTTGGGGTAGGCCGCCGCGTAGCCGTAGCCGGGGCCGTAGGGGTTGGGACTGTGCCGGTGCGGAGTGTCGCCGCCGCCGCCGCCGGTGTAGCCTTCGAACAGGGCGGAGCGGGAGTCGCGCTGGTGGAGGGAGGACGCGCCGAACCTGGAGGGGGGTCAGCGATGCCGTCGCCGACTCGTGGGCTTGTCGCGGGAGGTCGGGCTTGTCGTGGGGGGAGGGGGGGATGGGAGGTTGACGGACCGCTGGGCCATGGTGGCTCGAGTCTAGTATTCTGGCGTGCGGGCGGCGGACTGGAAGACGGGATCGATGGAAAGAGAAGGAAAGGAAAGGGAAGGGAAGGGGGGAAAGGAGGTCAGGATGTCATTCTCGACATGTTCGTGGTCAAAGTTATGGCGTAGGTGGTCTTGGTGACAGGTCTGGGGGATTGGCGCCACGTTTTCCCGTTTGGGGAACCTCAGCGGGCGGTGAGCGACGAGCTTCGTGGCACGCCATTGGCGGGCGGGCCTGGTCGGGGGTACGTACCGAGTGTGCGTGGCAGGACACCGGCGGAACGTGCCGCGTGTATTTTGCTGGTGTCTGTACGGAGTACGGAGTTAGACTTTCATGTACAAATCTTTCTTTTGGACCTTGCTTTCGTACTTTTGAACGCTTGTTGGCAAGTCAAGTCTGTTGACGTCTAGCTCCAAGTGACCATGCGTCACGGCGCAAAGCTACCTGTCGAGACGCATGAAGCCTCTGCCCTGACAACAGGGACGGAGACATTCACTCTTTAGATTCAACACACACGCGCCTGACTGACTCTGGGCCTGCCGCACTCCGCATGCAACTGCGTCTACACTTCTTCTTTACTCTGCCGGACTGACCATCATCCACGTGGATCAAAGCACCAGCAGGACGCATAACGTACATCACCACGCTGGAACTTGACCGGCAATCCTTTCATTCAGCTGTGCTTTTCTCCCTTGCAATCGAGCACTGTCGCTCGACGGTATACCCCTGATGACCGCCAACAAAATAGAAGAAGGAAATAGCAACAGCTCACAAATGCCTCCCTTGCGTCCATGTCCGTCCATGCGTGAACCACACAGGTAGATCCAAAGGCGACCCACCAGGAAAGCAAGCGAATTCCCGCAGTCGCAACACGTTTGCGCCTCTCCTTCCATTCAATCTCGACAGAAGCCCATCCCCGTCAGTAGTCCCCATGGAACCAAGCTTTTGTTGTGGTCGTACCAGCTCCAGGGCAGACTCGTCCAGCCCCCGCCTCACGACACCTCATCTAACCCGACATCTCGGTGTCCTCAGTAGGAGGCTGGAAGTCGTCGTCATCTTCATCCTCATCCTCATCTGCGGGGTGCTGCTCAGCGGCTTTGGCAAAGTCGATGACAGCACCGCGCGTGCGACGGCCGCCCTCAACAATGTTGTTCAGGTCAATCTCCTCCATGCCGTCTTCTTCGTCGCCTGAGTGAGAAGGAGAGAAAAAAAAATAATTAGCAAAGTTTACGTTGGCCGCGTGTCATGGCCACCAGTTTCTGCGCTTACCGCCCTCGCCGTTCTACGTGTCCGTGTTAGTGGGCTAGTTCTTGAAGGACAAGGAAGCTACTTCGCAAGATCGCCCACATACCTCTTCCTCTTCCTCGTCTTCCTCTTCTCCATCGTCGTCGTCGTCTTCCGCTTCCTCTTCACCATCCATTGCAGCGTCCTCGGTGTGAGGAACGGCCTCGGCGGCGGCCTTGTCCTTGCCCTTGCCCTTGCCCTTGCCCTCAGCAAAGCCCGTCTCCTCGGTGGAGGGGTTGGAGGGGAGAGCAGTGCCGTTCTCAGCCATGGTTGCGGCGATTGAGGTTGAAAGGGAGTCAATTAGGTTGGGTCTCGGGGTTGAGGTGAGGTGACGAGAGGGGCAACTCGGTGGAAAGAAGATTGGGATCGTTGGTGAGTCTGGCGTGTGAGATGGAGGTGAGCTTCAGTTGACTTTCTGCATGGGCGCTTGGAAGGCTCTTAAACCAAGCAGGAGCTGTCACAGCAAAAGAGCACTACGGCCTGTTTGTAGCGACGGCGCTAGTGCAAATTAGGCTAGCGCGTAGCTTCTATCGAGGTCACGTGCGGCCTTTGGCGTCCAGCGATGGGTCTGGTATTCGTCGCTCGCGGAGAGAGAGGAGGAGAGAGAGGAGGAGAGGAAAAAGAAAAAAAAAGGAGAGAGAGAGAGAAAGAGAGCATCGGCGTGTCTTGTGAAAAAGCTGTCGCAAAATAATCGCCCAACAAACATGGTTGGTCAAAGTATACAAGTGGCTGCTCCGAAACTGCTTCACCCAAAAGGTGGTTTCCATCAACTTCACATGATGCAATCCATTACGACATCTATAAGCTACCTGGTCCTCGTCTATTTCCCCTGCTCTCCGCCACCACCACTCAAGGCTATAAACACGGCAATGCCAATCATCCACCAGTACCTGCAAATAGTCAGCTCGCCCGTCCCTGGCACACTCATCATGCGCAGCTGCTGGGACCGTCAAGGAAACGTACTTTTGCAGGAAAGTCTTGTCCCCCTCCTCCTCAACCCTCTTCCCCTCCTTGGACACAACAACGGGCTTATTCAAAACCGGCCGCGGTCCCCTCGGCTGCGTCAAAACCACAACCTTGGGACCGAAATCTCTCGTCTGCCCGGCGTTAATCTCCACGCCCTTGAATGCAGCACTTAGCACGTTGCCCCTCGAGTCGACGGAGACGGTGATGGTGGGGGAGTACCCCTTGGCAAGGTTCTCGGTGGAGGCGACGGTAGTCCCAGAGAGCCAGGACTTGACCTTGGGGTCGTAGACGCCGATGCGGACAAGAGACGACGATTCGGGAATGTCGGGAGCGTCGTAGGATGTCACGGTTGACGAGTCGAGGTTGGCGAGGTCGTAGGATATGGATGCCAAGGGGAGGGGAGCTTGCGCATCGGCAGACGAGATGGGTTGGATGGAGATTTCGGCGGTATGCGGGCTGGCGTGCATGGCCAGGGCGGCGCAGAGCGCGGAGAGGAGTGTTGCTGCTGTCGTTGCTGTTGTCGTCCGCATGGCCGTCGGTGGGGGGGGGGGAAGCCGGATGATGATGATGATGATGATGATGATGATGATGATGGGAGGTGGGTGGTGATGGAGGTGAGGGACGAGCTGCGAGATCAAAAGTTGGCTTGTGTGGGTCTCGCCGTCGTCGACGGCTGCACCTTGCCCCTGGCGTGGAGCCTGAACATGCGCCAAATCTCGGAGCCTTCCTTGGCGTGCATCCTGGCCGAGCAACCGTTCCGGTCGCGTATCGTGGCATCTGCACCTCGGCAAAGCAGGAACGGGACCAACATCTTGTTGTTCTTCATTGCCGCGACGTGGAGAATCGTGTCGCCGAATTCCATCTGAGTATTGATATCGACTCCGTGTTTTTGCAGAGCCTTGATCATTCGTCTGTCGAACCGCATCATGTGCCCGAGGCGCATGTCATCAATGTCTGCCTTTGTGAAGCCATACCAGCTTATCAAGTGTTGGACCACGTCGACTCGCTCCGTTTCGACGGCCTCCGCCAAGATGTTCCTCATGTCCTCATCACGCCACAGGCAAGCATCGCTACGGTCATGGAGAAGTCGCAGCATAACGGGACCCCCGTACAACTCGGCCTGGCTTAGTGACACCTGGTGCCATGGGGCGAGAGTTTGGTCCGGGACGCCTTTCCTGTCCAGCAGCCATCCAACCATTTCTAAGTGTCCCCTGGCAGCGGCGTCGCGACATAGACCGTCCCAATCGTCCATATCTTCGCAGCTGACTTGTTTCTCGTGGATCAGCCACTCGACCACTTTTACGTGTCCTCCGGCAACCGCAGCCTGGAGTGTCGTTGGGATTGGGGAATGACTGCGTTGTGTCCCGTCCTTCTCAGCCTCGATTATGGCCCCGGTATCGAATAGTAGCTCGGCGATGTCTTTGCGCCCGTGATAACATGCTCTAGCCAGAGGCGAGAGAGGGAGAATGGCGCCGAGTTCACCACCATTCGGGTCTGCCCCCTCATCCAGCAGATGCTGGACAGTCCCGAGTTCGACTTGTGGGTTCTGCACCACGACAGCCAACAGTGAACTCGCCGTGTCCTTTGAGTATTTGTTTGATGGCACGACCAGTCTTGGTGAGCTGTCTGCTGTTCCAGCAGGCCCCCCCGGGCTCTGGGACGCGGCATGCATAAGCAAGGCTTCGACCACTCTCACCTTGCCGGGATTAAGCGAAGGCGGGCCAATCTCGTCTTGCCAGCATTTCACAGAGGCACCATGATCAAGGAGCAAGCGCGCCAGCTTGACGTCCGACGCATCTGCTGCCACCTGCAAGTATGTGCGTCCAGAGTCGTCCTCTCCTCTTACGTCTGCATTGTGTAAGAGTAGAAGCTCGACCATCCGCAGCCCGGGTCCACGGCAGGCGTTGAGCAGCGGAGTTGTGCCATCCTGTAGCCGAGCATCGATGCTAATGCGGTCTTTGGCAGGTCGAATGGCTTGACTCTTGCGGAGCAGTCTCACAGCTGCTGCCGGTTCCCTGATGTAATGCAACAGCGTGTCCCCCCTTGACGTCTGCTTTCTCACGTCATTATCCAAAAGGAACGCGTCGAAGAGCTCGTCGTTGTCGGTTCGCATAGCCATGTCAAGAATCCCAGCTCGGGTCTTGCATGACAGCGCGTCGAGTCCCTCTGCGGGCCGAGCACTCTCGAGGAGAAACCGGGCCACATCGTCCGACTTGTTATCCAAAGCGAAATCTAGAAGCGCCATCCACGCAGCCCATTCGAGTACAGATTCAGACGCTCCAGGCAGCAGGGGCGTCCAGTTCCAGGTCCCGTCTGCGTCCCGCCCCGACTGCAAAAGCAGTCTCATCATATCCACACTGTTGCTTCTCACGGCGTGATGGAGCCATTTCGAGATTTGGACGCCGTCGATCGTCCTCTGTGCCTTGATATCCACCGTCTCGTACAGCATTTTCCTGATTTCGTGTCTGACCCAAGGCTTAAAAGCTGCCGAAAGCACCACGTCCGCGTGCCAGTCAGCAGCGATGCCCAAGTTCCTCAAGAAGTGTTCGTTGTCGAGGAGGTGCCGGACAATGTCGACATTGCCCCCTCCAATCGCCGCCGTCAGAGTTTCAACATAGAACTGATCCTCATGGTCTCCGTCTATACCGGCCCCGCTGTCGAGAAGAAGGTCAAGCATTTCTTTGCTCCCGCTCCTGCAGGCCTCCGCGATTGGCCATCGCCATCGTTCCTCAGAGGATCCCCCAGGGTCGACACCAAGCGCAACGAGGCGCTTGACCAGTTTGAGGTTCCCATATCGACACGCTATGATGAGAGACTTATCAAGACGTCTGAGGCCGTGCTCGTCAGCCCATGATTTGTCAATCTTGAGAAGACGAACAAGGGCGTCAACAAAATCGTCCATGATGTGTTTCGGCGCCTTCACCGCAAGCATGATTAGATTGTCAAAAGCTCCCTGGTTCTTGTCACTTGTATCCAGGTCTCTGAATTCCCTCCACTCTGCCTCAATATTGGGCTCGCTAGCCAGTCGCAATATGATACTATACGCTCCAAGCTCCACGGCCAGCCAAAAATGGCACAGCTGCAGTGCCCCACGGTTGAGACGTAGGATGTAGTCAATCCTGGACTCGGAAGCGGATTTGTCTGCTCTTGCGACGGCCTTCTTGCCCGGCTCGCCATTGTCCGCCTTGTTGCCTGACCTCCCTTTGGCCGCCTCTTCTCGGATGGCCAGCGAAAGGGCAGCGCTGGCCTCCAGATCCGAACGTTTAAGGATTTCCTGGTCGAGAATATAGAAATGGTAGGAGCACACGCTGGCGAGCGCGTAGAGATCTCTGAGCGGCAGAAACGCTCCCACCATGGATTTAAGTTCATTGGGCAGTGTTTGCCACCGGCCCATGACGATGAATCTTTGTGGAAACAGAAGAAAGAGGACGCAGTACAATGAAGTGGACTGGATCTAGATGTCTGCTCCTGTGAATGTAGATGGAGGCGATGCCAGCCATTATATGCGCCAGTCCCCAGTCCTCTCCGAAGATACAAAAGCCTCGCACTGCATTTGTTCCGAATCTTCTCAATGTCATGAACAGCCCACCAACCGAAAGCCCGTGTGTCTGTCCAACATCCGAGTGAGCGAGTCTGCGGGCGAGGCGCTGCCGAAAAGGCGCTCAATAAAGACCAAACAGGCGCTGAAAGGGCGACAGAACCAGGCCCGTGGGACAAACAGCAACCGCTCACAAGCAACCGCAATTTGAGCGTCATCGAGCCCCAGGTCCAAAAGAGCCGTTCCAAGGAAAAGAGGCGGAAAGAAGAAGGAAAGAAATGCTGCTGTTCGGCCAGAGTGCTACGTACGGCGCGCTTTTGTGTGGCCTCTCACGTCGTCGCTTACACTTATTTGGCCAGCGCACTGCCGCGCACTCTTTACTTTTCAAGCCGTGGTTGTTGACGTCAAAGGTCCTGCGGGACGGGAGATGTAGTTGCTCGTTGACCAAGTGTACAGGATGGGAACATTCGGGCTGGGCCATCCTCGGAATGCGACGCAGCGCAGGGTCTCGAGTCTCGATGACCTGAGATGGGCGTAGCACAGCGCTTGGGGATAAATATTTCGTCTTCACTCACAGCGTCGACCGGACGTGATGGAACGGGGGCATGTCAGGTTTAAACCGGAGGGCTGATGGAAGCTGGGCCGTGATGTTGCGATGCACCGGCATGGAAGCAAGTTGTCCTTGTCCGTGGCCCCTGGCTGCCCTTTCGGAAATGAGGCTTGCTTGACTCTACCACCCAAGTCTGCGCCCTGAATATCGACCCGGCCTCCAGGGTGCCGGGAATAGGCCAACTCTCAGTAACAGCAGAGCATTGTCAGGACTCGGGACTCGGAATTGAAGGTGGTTGATTGCTGAGGTGGGACCTGTTCCTTGTATATGCAGCTGTTCAGGTCCTACCTGATCTCCCGGGACTCTATCTATCCCCTTCAACAATCCTTGGCCAGAACAAAGCGCCGTGCCGGAATCACACAACGCCAGAATGCAATATGCTCCAAGGTGCAGATATCAAAAGAGAAGAAGAAAGCAAAGGGGGGGTTTTTTTTTGACACGGGGGAAAAAAGAGAGGAAAAGAAGAAGAAAAAGAAGAGCATCAACAGCGTCATCCTCGTTTCTAACCATGCCCATGCCCGTGCCCCTCTCCAGCTCCAAATCTAAATTGGCCTTGGTGCATTTCGCAAGTCACACGGTTGGGTATCATTCTTGTATCCTACTTCTGTCAAGTTTGAGCCTCCTCTTGCTGCTGCCGCTCTTCACCTTCACCGACATCTTCGTCGTCGCCAATCGAGGAGTCGTCCGAGGAGCCGTCAGACTCGAGTGCGTATTGTGGTGTCCGCTCCACCAAACCCCGATAGTACGCGACAAGTACCTCTGGGTTAGGCACGATTTTCCAGTCCACCCTATAGAGAAACTCTAGCTCCAACATCTTTAACTCGGGTACTCGAACGCCGCCGACTCTAGCATACGTCGTGTTGTTCCAGAACGAATCGGACAGCCCCTTTGCAGCCACAGTGGCTGCTGTGATTAAAAATCGATGAACCGTCAGCGTGTTTATGGTGAACTCGGGATACAAAGCGCACAGGCGATCAATGTAATACACCATGGAGAGAAGTAGAGGTGGTGTAAGTGTAGCATGTCGAGCTAGGCGGTGAAGATAGTCTCGTACCGAGATGCCTGGGGCAGTCCTATCATGTTGTTCGTGTCAGAGGCACAATACACAACGGAGGAGGCTGGTTTTCTTTCCTGCAGACTACCAAAAGCAAGAGCACAACATCAAGCCGTGGCCTTTGCAGCCTTTGTGGACGCACCTGGAATGAAAGCGTGTTAACCCTCCGCTCGATATCCGAATGGCATCATTCGTCGCAATCAGCTCGGCCAGCATGTGAGTAATCAGTTCCACCATGTCTTCCACTGCGCAAAACTCGTAGCGCTGAGGCAAAATCTTTGGCTCCCCAGTGGTCCTTGCTCGCTTCGGCGCAGTGTTGATGGCAGATGGCGAGGCACCACCCCCCTTGCTCTCGCCCGTCTGCGATGTGGTCGACGTATCCTCACTTGGGCGGCTAGGAGATACTCTTCGCTTGTTTGGTGACAAAACTGCTTGAGCGTCGTCGTCAGATTTGGTGGAGGGTCGAGGGTGCGCTGGTGTCCCGCTCGGTAGGGAGCCAGAAGCCGCAGGCGTGACAATGTGTTGAGGCTGGGGCTCAAGCCGCAGCTGCGGCGACGGAGGCAGTTGATTGAGCTTCTGGCCCGAAGTCAGACTGTCATGTGGCACGCAGCTGTCGGAAGCTGATTCGTTTAGTTTTGCGCGCCGGCAATGGGGGGAGCAGGAAGAGGCATTCGGGGCAGGTGCGACGGCTGGGTGACGCCGACGTGCGAGCGAGGTTGACGATGCCAATCGAGGGGATGCTTGGGGAGACGGAGGGGTTGCATGGCCACGGCGAAAGCTGGTGGGCGACGCATTGGCAGAGCTGGTGAGGATGGGGGACGTCTTCAGCATGGTGGACAGCGCATCGTCGTACGCATCGAGACAATGCTGCTCAAGCCTTGGGTCTGGTCTATGCCGACTGGTTGCGTGCGACTGTGGTGCCTACGTGCGGCGTTCCAGCGATGCAGCAACGCAGTGCGCTTGGTCAGGAAAGACTCTGGGACCCCGTCGCTTTGGATCGACTGCGCGGACGGCACCAGGACAGCCAGGACAATTCATTGAACGGCGGTATGAGGTGACTGCGTGCCATGCAAAGAAAGCAAGCAAGGGGAAAATGCCCTCGGCTGGCGTCGCGGCAATGCCCCCTTTGGCAGAGCGTGGGTTCGTACTTGAGAAGATGGAGTGCTTCCGTAGACGAGGCGGGTTTTTGACGACGGACGGCGACGTGTTGGCTCGGTCTGCCGAAGTCGGTACTCCGTACGTGGCACGCAATTTTTTACCCAAGTTTGAGAAGCGAGCAAACGTCCCGAGTCCCGACGGACGGGGCGATCGATCTACGTATGTGTACTCCGTATGGATGATGAACGGTACTCGAGTGCAGGTAGCGAGCGGCACGTTCCAGCGTCCCAAGTTGTTGGCAGCTGGTGAAGGCAGCGGCTGTTTTGGTTAGGCGCGAGACCAACACAGGCACACCCTGATGGAGATGTGCTCGGGTGATACAACGGCGACGGTCGGGTTCAGTTGACGGCGTCAACGTCGCGGGTACAGGGGGAGGTTTGAAGGAATGAAAATTAGAGCCCGAATCAATCAGGCGGAGACAAAGAAGCAAGGTTGAAGGCGCTGCTGCTCGAGTCGAGGAAGCCTCCCAATTTCGGCGGAGGCAGGCAAATGGCATTTTGAATTTGGCAACTGCCATGGCGTCGCCCCCTGCACCTGCACCTGCGCCTGCACCTGCGCCTGCACCCTGCCAAGTGCCAACCACCCACCGCCCGCCGCTTTACCTCCATCGCTTTGCGTGGGGCAGAACGGAAAACCAGACCAGACATTGAACTCACTGTCCACCTCCCACCCATCGACCACCGCCGCCCGGCATCGCTCGGCCAGTCCGCCCGCTGCTTGCTTGCTGGTCTGATTGCGGTTTGCCCTGCTCAAGTCACCTGGCAAACTACTAATACGCACACACGCACAACCGAGGGACAGCCAACATACGGCTTCGGCAGACCGCAAGCTCGCCAAGCGAGGGGGCGACGGACGCCTCTTGAGAATGAGCCTGCCCAAACTTGAGGGAATGCCATGTAGTCATACGAGCGTCGTCACCACACCGCAACGGCGCACGCAAGCAAGCACGCAAGCAAGCACTCACAATCAAAGGCATTGGCCATCAACCGCAGAGAAAATACCCAGCCTTGACCGAACCCCCGTGCTGGTATAGGGCCGCCTGATTCGTACCTGCAGCCTTATGGCCCTGGATGCGCAGTGTCACATTTGTGCCGTGCCGTGTTTGCTGCCCCAGCAGCTTAATCACATTGACTGCAGTCTGGATTTTCTATTTTGATCCTAGGCGAAGACGTGGCTAGTGGGGAGTTGGTTGACCAACGACGCCTGTTCGGATGGTCGTCGTCGTGGTCCATGGTCACAGTCAACCCGTGTCCTTGGTTGGACGCGGGCTCGATGCTCTAGAAAACTTCTACTCCATACCGAGGGAAATCGATATGACGATTTGCCCAACGGCAGCCAGCCCCTCTGAAAGTAGGCGTGATCTTGTTCATTCTGTTACAAGGCCGAATTCAACCACGACGAGTTGTCTTTGAACCCGCACATGGTACTCCATCACGCGGAGAAGGCCCAAATATCGCGACGTGGGGCAGAGACAGGAATTAAAAAAAAAATACATCTTGGAGGGGAAAAAAACCAAAGCCAAAAACCAACATATTTCCTACTAGTACCTATAGAAACTCATTGTGTCGTGAACCTCGGCTAATCTTTAACAAATGGTCAAGTGTCGTGGAAGTCGCGTGTGCAACTGAGGCCGTACTCGTACGTAGATTCTACGTACGTAGTACGGAACCATCATTGTTTCTCGAATTCTTCAGGGCCGGGTGGGGGGGCTCAGTACGTGTACTTACGTAAGTGCCTAGGTAGGCACCAGGCCAGGTACCTCCCTCGACGTGGCCATGTAAGCCCCCGCAGGTCCCATGTGATGCCTTCAAACGGCATGATGCGCCTGACTTGGCTCCGCCGATAAGATAACAAGATGCACGTGCCCGCAGCTAAATGTCACCAAACCGTTTACGACTTGGCGACAAATCGGCCTCGCATCATCAAACTCCGTCAATGTAAAAAAGACGGAAATATCGTTGTAGATTTCCCACAGCTTTGCTCCTCCGAAATCCAATTCTCGCTTGGCATCGAGATTTTTGCATCGAGACTGCCGACCTGCCATAGCGATCAATCGTCCCCAATAGACCAGGCGCAGGGAACCGGGGCAGGAAGGACCTTGGGAGTCGGACGTGACGGATATTCGCTGCCTCGTGACGCCGATGCGCCAGCAAGCCAGAGCAACATCGACTGTAGCTCGTTCTCGTTGGACTGAACAGCCCCCATGGCTCGGCCGCAGAATTCGCCCATCCTAGCACAGCTGCGGAACGCAAAGTCACTGCCCGAGCAGAGAGCAGCCCTGCAGGCTCTTAAGAATGAAATAGTCGGCCATGTGCAGAAAAAGGAAGCATGGATCGGCCTTGGTGTCCTCGAACCCATAGTCAGGACGCTGTCCTCCAGCCGGCCGCCTGAAAAGCTAAACGGGAAAGATGCCAGTGTCCAGCTCTGGTCGCGGCCTCTGTCCGACGAGGACTCTATCAAGCTCCAAGGTCTGCAGCTCATCGCTAGCTTTGCCAACGGTACGATGATGACTCTTCTCCCTCCCACCGGCTTGTCGCTTATGCACCATCAGCCATTCTCACGCAGCTCTGTTTTGTCCGTCGTCTAATTTGCTGCATCCAGGTGGACCCGCGTTTCTGCACCCTTTGCACGCAGCTCGTGTCGTACCGGCCGTTTTGGGCAACATCTCGCCCTACACGAATCCCCCTCAGGTTGTCGTATCTTCCCTGAGAGCCCTCCTCGACATCACTTCTGCCTCCGACATGGCCGCTTCGCCGTCGGCTCTCGATGTACAGAGCATTGCCGACAATGTCTTTACTTCCCAGCACATTGCGTCGCTCAATGCGGTGCTGTCCATGGCATCCCCGAAATACATCTTCCAATCCCAGGTATTTCTCGCATCTACCTTGATAGGTCGCCTGTGTCGACAAGACAGGCATCAACATGCCCTTACCATGGGAGGTATCTTAGACTCCTTAGCTGCGCAGCTGGCAAGGTTTGCAGTGGCCGATGGCCTCGTCGTACCGGGTGCAGAAGAGCATGCGTCTAGTGATGGGCTTTATGACTTGATTCCCGAACCGGCCAATCCGGGTGCCAAAATTGGACCCATTCTAGAGGCCGTCAGTTGCATCATTGGTAGCTCCAAATACCGGGCGAACAGGCTGATCTGCTCGCCGTCCATCCTGGCAACTTTCCCAAGCATCAAGTTTGAACCATATGAGGATCCCCGGGATTCGCAGCAGGCAGTGCCACCACGGCACGACGGATTGACTGCCATGGAATTCATTCTGCCGTCTCTCCCCATCACAGCCTCGAGAACGCCGTCCGCTGCGCCATCATCTTTCCCCACGCCGGATCGATCCGACTCTAGGACTTCTAGCAGGACGTCACTGAGCAAGCTTGGTTCGTCTGTTGCCTGGGACTCGCCCCGATTCCAAGCACTAGGAAATACTGTCGACGTCTCCAGTGAGGACATCGAGAGCCCATTCATCCCCTGGCTCATCCACCTGGTGCGATCATTGAGTGACTACGAACGACTCATGGCGGCCGCCGTTCTTGCGGCTCTTTTCAAGGCCGGGCTCGGTAGAAGGGGCGTCCGAGAGGCCAGCATTGGCTTACTTGTGGTTCCCATTCTGGTTGGCATGATCGCAAAGAATGACAGGGACGGAGATCAAGTCTCAGATTCTCTGGATACAAGACAGCTTCAAATCTTGGAGAAGGCGCCGGCGATCCTTGCCAGAACCATTACAGACAGTGAATATCTACAAAAAGCCGCGATTGACTGCGATGCTGTCAAAGTTCTCACAAGGCTCCTAAAACGGGCATATCAGCCTGTAGAGAACGTGAAACACCCCAAGTACTGGTCGCCCAGTCCAGATACAGGAATGGATGTCGAGAGCACCTCTCCTCTTGCGCAGCTCGGGGATGGTGGCCAGAACCCCCTGCTTGTCCACCGGATCCGCGTCCGTGAATCTGCGCTGAAAGCCATAGGCGCATTGTCGGCTGGCAAGGAGGATTACAGAAAGGCGCTCGTCGCAGAAGACTTTGTCCCGTTTGTAGTCGAGTCTCTTGGCGAGTTCCCCAGAAAGCCAAAGCAGGCAAAAGACAAGCCAGTCTCTGACATGGGACGGACGGGGCCAACACCGGCGTACGGCACAAACCCGCAGTCCGTCCTCATCGCTGGCTGCCACGTAGTGAGGACATTGGCTCGGTCAGTTGGCATCTTGCGAACAGCCCTGGTGGATCACGCGGTCGCCATGCCCGTATTCCGCTTCATGCGTCATCCAGACATCAATGTCCAGATTGCCGCCACGGCCACCATCATCAACCTTGTTGTGGAGGTCAGCCCAGTCCGAGAGGTTGGTTCCCCCCTTCCCTTGCCCAGTGAGGAACTTGGCGGGTCATTCGGCGCTGACAATGTTTTGGAAAAGCTCCTTACTGAAAGTGGAGTGATGAAAGTACTGTGTGAACATGCTCACTCCGACAACCACGCCCTCCGCTTAAATGCTCTCTGGGCGTTGAAGCACTTGGTGGATGCCGTGGGACCGGCTCTGAAAAAGGCATGTCTTGAGCAACTTCAGCCGGGCTGGTTAATGCAGTTGATTTGCGACGACGACCGAGAGAACTGCTTCTTCCCTCCGACATGCAAAGAACCGGCAACCGACGACCTGGACGAGGACATGGACATGCAGCAGTCAGACGAACGCCTGAGGTGGCTCTATGGAACCAACGGGGCTATACGAGAGCTGGACGCTTCTCGATCGTCAAGGCTACGGCAGGTGGAGGACAGGCTGGCCTCTGTTCGCGAGGCAGAAGTCAACCCGGCAAGGAAGACAAGAAACGAGAGCTTGGCCATGCAAGAACAGGGCCTAGATTTTATCAGGAACCTGATTGGAAGACCGGAATCGGACGGATCATCAGAGGTTCCCAGTGAAAGCACGGAGATGATTGATCACTTGCTGAGGGAGCTCGGGCAAGCTCGACTGTTTGAGATGTTGGCGTCAAAACTACGGTCAAAGGTTCTACATCCGTTCTCGAGAAGAGCTCCCGTCGTCGGTGGTAGGGAGACGCGGGTGCTCCATCCGCAAGCCAAGATTATCGTGGCGGTGATATGCATTCTCGTGCACATGGCTGCCAGCATCCCTCGACACCGGCAGCTCGTCATTGCGCAAACAGAGCTGCTCAAGCTGCTCGCCCAGCAGGCCAACAGCAAGGATCGAAGCGTGCGAGCGTCGCTGTGTCACCTTGTCATCAACCTCACCTGGCAGGAAGACGAAGGCGAGGCACAGGCCTGCTCGCAGCGAGCACAGGAGCTGAAGCGGCTCGGCTTCTACTCCAAGATGGAGACGTTGAGGCAGCAGGACCGGGACCTGGACGTGCGTGAGAGGGCCAAGACGGCTGCGTGGCAAATAGACCAGGTGACGTGCTGAAGGGGAGACGTGGAAGAAGCGCGATGGAAAACGACCATGCTCAATCATGACGGCGGCAGTGAAGAAAAAGAGAGCCCTTGACTCGGGGCGTTGGGAGGACTCGGTCGGACCTTTTCCTGTGGTGGTTATGGTGGTGGCAAGGCATTCGTTATCAAGGCCCAAGGAGCTCCACGAGACGCCGTCGTCGGCGGCGGACCGTCGCCGCGGTGACGGAGCCGAAGCAGTTGCAAAATTCGCAAGAGTCTTGGAAGACTAGGCTCGTCTCCAAGCTGGTTGGTGAGTAGGCGCCGGCTCCCGTGTATGTTGGTTGACGCTGCGGCATGCACGTCCCGCATCGATAGGATAGTCTCAAGCTGTATGGTTTAATTCAAGCTATCCTTGCTGTCCTGCACGTCCTGTCGTCTCCCCCGCCGCACGCCGCCTCACCACGCACCGGCTGAACCATGACGACGAAACCAAAGCCAGGCCACGGAGCCCGTCGCCCGGATTGCTTGCCTGCCTGCCGAGCATCTCGGGCACGTGGACATTGTGCGCGTCCGTGTCTGCTGGCCACGCGCAGCCGCAGCAAGAACTCTGTCCGACGCCCCATCGCCATCGGTCAACGGCCAACGGCCAGCCAGGTGTCCCAATGTCTCACGGCCACGAGCCTCACGCATGCACGCACGCATGCATGTACGCCCGGGGGCTCAACTCCCGGCCACTGAACACCGCGGCGGCTGCGTGCCTTGATTGCACTTGCACATGGAGAGGCCGTCACATGATGCGACGGGGCGAGTCGCCCAGCCAGCAGAGCGGCGTTTTGTGCGACGCGCGACGATGGCTGCCACTGCCACCCGGTCCTTGGTCCTTCCGCTCCTCCCTCTGGCGATGCCGTGGCCGCCGACGCCCCGGGACCGCACGCATCGCTTGTTGCCGGTCTGGTCTGCCGCGGAAAGGGGGGAACAGCACAAGAAGCCGAGCGGTCCTGCGGGAGACGCCCGTGGGCGCGGGCATGTGCGTGTCTCAGACTGCTTCACCGAGGAAGCCACGTTTCAGCCCGCAGACGTTTCGACTCGGACGCCTACGCCGTACCCTGTGCCGCTTCCTTCTTGTCCGACCTCTTCCCTCTTCTTGCCTTGTGTTGTTGGCCTTGGGCTGCCTTGCCTACTTAACATGCCACATGCTACATCTTGGATGCCGTAGGGCGGTGGTGTACTGTGCGCATCTCGTATTGCGCGCAAGGACCGTCTCTTTTCGACAAGTGGCCGCGTACCCGAGGACCCTCGCGATGGCCTCGTCCCGGAGGGCGCTTCGCACTCGGGGAGCCGCAGGTCCGATCCGACGGGGAATACAGACACAGACACAGACTTGGTCGCCCGGCGTGTGCCCCTCGCACGCTGGCGAACGGAACGGAACCCCCCTGGGCTTCAGTCAGCTTCATTCCGGGAGAGGCGACCATCTAGAGTCGATGTTTAATCAGCTGAACAACCGAGGTTCTCTGTTCTTACCGACGCCCCTTATTGGACACTGGGACGCTGTCGTGTTCGAGACAGACTCGCTGCGCACGCTTGCAGCCATACGTCTGGAAGAGCCGTGGACGAGTCGCTTGGTTTCATCATGAGTGCCCCTGGGAAAAGGAGTTTCGTCCAGTCAGTCACAAGAGAGGCGCTCAGTAGATGGAGGGCTCGGAGCAAGCAGCTCAATTCAACTACAACAGCACACGTTGCTATTCAAGGTCCTTTGGTGACCAACGACTTCTACTTGTGCAGTGAGCCTCGCGTCGTAGCTCTCGTGTGATTGTGTGTCCCTCGTGTAACCGTGTGATGGCCACGTCTTGCCATTGCCAACATTGTCGCTGCTTCCAAGCCTCTGAAAACTCGCTCTAGATGATATCATCTACCCTACTGGTGCAGCACCTCGACTGTTCTTACCTTGGGATGGAGAACCTTGGGATGGAGAACTGCGGCATTGATTTGTCGAGCCGGCTTGAAGATGTGGGAAGTGCCATGTAGACGGCAGAACAACCTTTGTGATGCATGTCACGGTGGGCATGGTTGCGGGGGAGGGATGAGGGTAAATTGTCAAGAAAAGAACCACGGACATCTGTGCATGTGAGCAGTACTCGTAAACGCCGTCTCGTAGTCTTTTTTCCATGGTCATCTGGTCAGCGGCACATGATGGTTTGCATCAGATCGACTGGTGGACGTGCGCTCGTTCACGCCAAGGTCACAATGGACACTTAGTCAGTACTCGGCATGAAATATTCTCGTCCATTGGCACTAGAGATGATTGATATGAGAGCCAGTAAACCGGCAGCTGCCAAATGGGTTGCGTCACAGTAGCACGTCATGCTACTGACGAGGTTACACCGCCTTGGCCCCATCCTCTTCGCAGCAGTTGGAGGCCATTTTCTGTCTTCATGATGCCGAGTGCTTCGTACCTGAACAGCACGCACCTACCCAAGGTACCCTTTCTAGTAACTAGGTACTTCAAGATAGTTGTTGACCCATTTTGACTACATCTGGTGTGGTCATGTTGTTGCTTGACTCCCGCCCCACGAGTGATTTGGCAGTTGGACGTCGAAATGTCATCTGGTGTCACTGATGGGGGCGTTTCCGTCCTCCTATCATCACTCAACATGCGCCAAAGACATGTTATCTCTTTCTCGACAAGGTTTGTTGGTGTCCTATTGGTCCCAGCGATTCGGGGCTGCCGTGCCTTGTATCCTACTAGTCATGTGATCGGGCTTTCTCATGTTGAATTGACTCGGTCTGCCTGGAGGCTTTTTGTTCATTGGATAGGAAGCTAGAAGTCAAACCAGACCTGTGGCTTGACTGCTTCTCAGTACTAGTTGTTCCCCTGAGCACATATACAGGTAGCCCAGCTCCATGACACATCTTGTCGTAAAAGGTTGTCGCTCTCGTCAGTGTCTTGTCTTTCTTCCATGGATGAGACTGCAACGAGACAGGCAAACAGGTCGGACATCCAAACGGAGCCCGCGGCTTGCATGTGCTTGCCTTCCCGTGACATGTGGAGCTGGTAATGAGTGCAGGAATTAAATTGTGCGCCACTTCCCCCGAAGGGCGAGTGCATGGGCGCATGATGATGATTTGATGGTACGGTGGCCGTGGACGGGCGCTCTGGGGACCTGTCAAGTTGCCTGTGGCTCTGTGAGTGCGAGGACAGGAGGGGACACCCAAGAAGCCGAAGAACCAAGAGCCGTCTGGGACCATAGTTGTTGAGCACCTGGCTGGTCCAGGGCGTTGGAACATGACGAGACCCTTCCGACTCCGTGTTGGGAAACCCGCCACCGTCCAGCTTTCATCAGTGGAATCGTATAGTAGTCTGGTCATTCAGCGGCAAAGACGCGAGGAGACCAAGACCATGTCTCAGCTTAGGGCCGGCCCACGGGACGGAATGGAAGGTCAGGCGTGCATCAGGAAACAAGAATAGCATCAATCTGAGCCAACAGCGGCACTTAGGGAAGCCGGATATGGAAGCCCGACCACCTAGGACCAAGAGCGCGGACTTTTTGTTGTATCGGCCGGCCTTGCTGAGACGATGCCTGGAACAACAGCACTGCATTTTCTGTCGTGGTGAATCGTGGCCTAGCTGACGCTCAGCCAGCGTGAAGCGCACATTTCGGCAAGGCATTTCGCTTCAGTCGAGGTGCCCGGCTGGAGAGAGAACATCAGGCCACCTTCACAATTCTTCCAAGGGTCGTGGACGCAACCTGTCAGGAGAAACGATGCAAGTGTGGATGCCGACGCACGTAGGGACGGGGTGAGCTGCTGTTCTGAGGCAGGCGTGCAGCCAGGTTTGGGACGTTGATCCTGTCGCCTGTCTGGGTGACATCGGGGGGGTACATCTTCGCAAGCGTGCGGCATCTTGCGAAGCCCGAGCCGTGTATGCCATCCATGGTGCCGATTTTGAAGCCGCGTGATGCAAGCAAGGATGCACCATGTCGGACGTACATGCGGAGTACAGTTCACGGCGAGACGACGACGGCGGCGACGATGATGGTGGTGATGACGACGGGAGTTTTCTTCACTAGTACTCCTGAGTCCTGACGGGGCCCGTCCGGCAATATCACCAAGCCCCAAGAATCTTGACTCGCGGGCCCTCGAGGACCAAATAGGCAGTTGTTGGTTTCGAAACATTTGTCTGGGTCTGGCGCCACCTGGCTGAGGCGAGGGAAAACAAGCACAGACGGGGCGGGGCCCATGATCAAGATCTCGACGGTATGGGCTCGATGAAAACACTGTGTGGCCTGCCAAGTCTCGCTCAGCCAAACCGAAAAGGACGGGGGAGTAAGTTATACAGTGCACGCATTGTTCAGGATCTCGGCCACTGTCCGCCGAGTGGGTTGGCGCCACGGGGCTCTGGCCAATTGCAGGCGAGGCTAAGCGACTCTCGGCCGGGCATTCGGCTCCACGGCGGGAAGGCAAGGGGTAATTCTCCGCAAACAATTCGGCAGGCACTCGCAATGTCAACTAGGACACCACGGCGCACGAGAGCTGTCATCAATGGCACCCACGACAAATGTCTGGAAATATCTGAAGTCACATGGACAACTAGATGCAGAGGAAAAGCGTCAGGTCAGTTTTTCATCTTTCATTTTTCATCTCATTTCGTTCTTTTTTTTAGCGCCGTCACCAGCATTTAGTGATTTGCCAACAAATTTCCACAAACCCCATGTTTTTCGGAAATTGTCTTTCCTCATTTTGAGGTGGTTTCCTTGGGCTGCAAATGGAGCAAGGTGCGTATTCCAGACGAGGTATGAACTCAGCCACAGCAACAGTAGCAGTCGGTCCTCTAGCTCGCGGCGGGAATAACTTGGTATAAGTTGCGACGGCCCGCAGAGCACTCCGTATGTACATGCAATGCTTCTCCACAGACATCAAGGTAAGAAAAGGTCGAGAATCTGCAACGGTCCACATGGCCGGCAAACATAGCAGTCGAGCCTCTTTGACACGTTCCGCTGGTCACCAATCTTATTGCTCACCCGATATATGTACGCC